AATTCATTAAAATAGCTCAATAAAAACTCTTCTGTGTCATGTTCCTTTGTCTGTGAGCCAGTGTTTGTGTCTTCTGGGTTAATTTATATCATTTGATTTAGTACTTTCCATGCTTGTGTTTCCTTGCCTACCATTTTTTTCACATTCCATGTGTAGTCATGTTAAGTTCTGTCTTAATGTTTATTCATCTGTTTCCCAGTTGCCTCTCTCTCTCTGGGTCATTGTGTTCCATGTGTCACCTCTAGTCATCCTTCTCTTTATGTTCGTTTATTGGCTGTGTCCGTTTTCTATGTTCTCTTTCTTTCTCCCCAGTCATATGTTCTCATTTCTATTCGTACACAGTCCCTGTGTCTCATCATGTGTCTCATGTTTCCTGTTTTATTTTATCTTGTCCTGTGTTCAGTGTACTCAGTTTGAGCACAATCTAAACACAAATTATTCTCATAACAAAAGGAATCACAAACCCACAGTGAATGCTGTGCATACCATACTCGTGACTTTGGGTGACACACCTACGTTGTTGGACTGGTTAAATGAGTTTCGAGTGTCACTGTTATTACTTACGGTAAGTTTATAATCAGCTAGTTTGGTTTTAGTTTCACTTGATAATGTCCACTAACTAAAATCTTTATCCGATTTCACCACCAAATAAAATACCTGTCCTTCACTCTCTGGTTTCATAATTTTTTATACTCAGCTAAGTGTGGTTTAACTCTTTATGTTGCATTAACAAACTCAACTATCCCACCTGGCTTCCTGTTAAGAATGGAGCGAGCTTACATCAGCCAATGTGTCTCTGTGTTTACTTTGGTTTCACTTCATTTATCCTGTTGTTTCTGTTTTTTAGTGAGTTTGGCATCACTTATTTAGTAGTAGGTACTTTTAGATTAGCAAATGTTTTTGATAGTTTTTTTCTTCTTTTGATTCATTTAATTTGAGCTGCAGGAGCAGAAAATGTGATGCTGTCTAACTCTATAGGCACGATGAGTCCATATTTATTTATCACAGCATAAAACAAATGGTTTATAATCAAATTAGTTTTCATCTAAAAAAGGTGAATAGTAAATCTGAATTTTGACACCATAGACTACTTCTGAAAGCTAACTCTGAAACACAAGTTTAAAATACATAAAGACAGTACATTCACCTCTAGATCAGACACTGGTCAAGGTGGAAGTAAATGAGAAAAGACCATTCAATAAAGGAAGATATTTGTAAATGTTTGCAATGTTTGGTTATTTTTTATGATCTGGAAAGACAAAACAAAAGTATTTCTACAGAGAACGAAATTTTTATTTAATAGTCTGTAGCAGAGGCGGAGCCAGACATTTGAAACACCCAGGGCTTAGCCCTAAAGGGTAGTATGCATGTGGGATTTTTAATTTTTTTTTGGAGCGGGGGGGGGTAGAAATGACTGAAAGATTAATAGGCTCTGTTTTGAGTTTTGTTCAAAAAAGAATGACTTCATATAGGGAAAAATATATATCATATATACAGGACACCTTAAACTAGTTTTTTAATTAAGCACCAAGGCAGAACAAAGTCAGGGCTGTATCAAGACACGAGGACTAAACCCCAATTCAACCAGACCCAGAACTGATCCAGAATTAAAACAGGACTACAACAGTTCAAAATCAGGACTACTTGGTGTAGTGGCAATTCCTTTTTTTTTTCTCTTTTGAGAGATCAAACGTCCCACAACTTAAAGGTCCACAAGCCACTGCTGCACTGAGGTAACATTTCGTACGCAGGCAAAAGAAGTCCACTGTCCAAACTTGAAAGTTGAGAGTTTTGTTTTTGGTTTATTTTATCCATTTTGGCAAGCAATAACAAGATCCTTCCTGCTGCTTCTCCTGCTCTGGTAAAAAACCATAGGCCCACCCCAATGCATGCTGGTCCTATACCAGTCCCTTTATTTATAGAAACAAAATGGCGCTACAGCTCGTACTGACTAATTTAACAAAATAACAACAAACAAACAAAACATTAAAACAAAATATTAACCAACAAATAAACCCAAAAATAAAGAACAAATAGCTCCAACACTTGGGATTTAACCAAGACAGAACCACAATCAGAACTAGATGATAGTAGCACTAAAAATCATCATAGACCTGCACTACACTTATTTTTTAATTCTACCAAAGTACAATATTTAGATTGAGAAAGGTTTATGTAATTATTTAGCCTTGTTGTGCAAACAAGCCTGCATAACTTAATAAATGTAGAATTTGAAAAATAAAAAACCTAAAAAGAAACACTAGGTGCAAGATACATGAGTGCCCATGATACGGTGATACTGTTGGTAAACAACCATTTGACTAACATGTGTGTCTCACCTGCTCTTGTTCATCTCTGTTCTGCCCTCTCTCTCCCTCTTTGTGCTGACAATCATCAAATATACAGTTGAAACCAGATATTTACTCTTCAGATCAAAACAAACACTTTTTTAATTGTAACATCAAATCAGACTAAATGTTTATTTTTTTAGATTGCTAAATATAAAAAACATATTTGTTAACTTTAAGAGTAAAGAGAGAAACTGTCTGTATTTCTTAATTATAAATGGCACCAAATTGTATTCAAAATTGAGCCACACTTATGGAGCTCCACAGTTCTTTTCCTGGTGTTTTGGTTGACATCTCTTGATTTTCCCATGTCACAGAAACAGGCTCTGTGTTTTGCCTTATATGCATCCACAGCTGTGCCACCAATTTACTCACATGGACTCTACTAACCTATCAGAAGCTTCTTCAGCTCAGAATGGAATCGTCTGGAGTTTTCTTATCAATTAACAATAAACTTAGTGTACATGTGCTCCTACATTTGATTAAAGTGATAAAAATAGACAGATCTCTCTCTCTTTATTCTGACATTTAACTCATTCAAAATATGTTTCAATATTTATCAAAAACAAAAGTTTACTCTAAATTGATGTTGTACAGTAAAAATGGTTTATGTTTTCTCCCTAAAGTGTATGTAAATATCTGGTTACAAATGTGAATATCCTGCTGTGTACTGAAATCCCTCTTGTTTTGCATAGAAATATACTGAACAACATACAAAGCATAATATATAAAATAACATTTACCTGAGTTTTTTCTTTGAAAGAAGCCTCTAATGTCCATTCTTATATTTCAGTACATAACTGAAACCGATTTAGTCGGGGAGGGTAAGAACTGAAAATATGAAATAAACACACATAAGCTAAGTCTCTCTAAAAAAATAGCATTTGTTCGGCTTTTCATTTCGCCATTTGTTGATTCACTTGAAGAGCAAGTAACGTAATATTGGTCAAGTGATCAGTTTGATATCAATCTTTAGTGATACACCGTCATATTTACATTATTTGTACGCAGTGTTGGGGAGTAACGGAATACATGTACCGCCGTTACGTATTTAGAATACAAAATATGAGTAACTGTATTCCGTTACAGTTACCGTTTAAAAAGGTGGTATTCAGAATACAGTTACTTTGTTGAAATAAATGGATTACACTGCGGTACTTTCCTGTTTCATTTTGTCGCGGGTCAGGACTGTTTGGGTTTTGTTTGACAGCTACGTTCTGTTGTTCCAGGCGGCAGCGTTACGGTTGCCATGGTTACAGGGCGACGCTCTCTCTCTCTTTCTGCGACTGTGTGTTTCCTGGGTGAGAGAGCGCCTTTTCGTTGTTGTTGTTGTGCTAAGCTAACAGGCAGAATGCTACAAGCATATCTCTAAAGAATGTAGCATCATGGGCAGTGTAGTCCGTGTTGCAGGGAGAATGCACTGCCATACACGTTATGTGTCTGTGAGCGCGAGGAGGGAGAAAAAGGCGAGTGGAAAGGTCCGAGTTGTCGTCGAGGAAAAACGGGAACTGGAAACATGTAAATATAATAATAACCACTGCAGCCAAGAAGAGTGCCTGACGAGCCCAGTTGTAAGTAAGCTATTAAGACTCGACTGTACACCGTGTTCGTGTTTTCCTCCGAAAACAATAAGTTCCATTGGAGCAGTCTTTCAACGCCTCTCTCTGTCTCTCGCAAGAAAAATTGACCCACACAACAAAGTAAAGCTATTTTTCGGCTACGAGCCAACAGGGACCCCGCCGTATTAGTCAGAGGTCCCTTTACTACAGTTCGGAGTCGGACCTTCAGTAATAGTAATAAATCACACAGCAATAGTACATTCATGTTGTTGTAAAAAGCATGATAATATATTAAGTATTCCAAAGTATTCAGAATACATTACTGTCATTGAGTAACGTAACGGAATACGTTACAGAATACATTTTGGGGGCATGTATTCTGTATTCTGTAACGGAATACATTTTAAAAGTAACCTTCCCAACACTATTTGTACGGTATGAATGATTTGCTTTGGTACCTGCTCAAACTTAAGCTCTCCTTAGTATGGCTGGGTCCGTTTCTCCAACAGCGCACTCACGGGCAGCAGCTGCCCCGCCCCCTCGCTCAGTCGCTTAGTGTCTGAGCTCGGATCATACCAATATCAGGGGGGATTCACGCACAGTCGTAAATTCCCACAGTGTGCACTATGTGCTTCGAATATTGTGTGTACTTTTTGTTTTATACAGTTGTCAGCCAGGCATCTAACTATGAAAAAATTACACTCCAAAAGACCCTGGACTTCTGACAAAACAAACCGGGCTTAAGCCCAGTAAGCCACCTCCACGCTCCGCCCCTGGTTCGTAGTTTGTGTTTTTTTTACCTGATAAGAATCTGTTTTACTTATCTTAAGACATTGAATCAAACACCACAGAACAAAATAAGCAAAATACAAAGTGAACATGATCTGATCTTTGAAAACAAAAGCAAACATATAAGTGAACTGAATGGGTGAACGGATAAAGAAAGTGAAACTGGCTAATTAAAAAACAAAAGCTTTTGGCAGAGAACCAGTCTGTCAGGTATTGGTCATGTGACCACGAGGACTGGGTTTACATCCCACCCACAAACCTGTTCTCCTCCAGACATCGTTTCCCTCATGTCAGGAGCTCCAACACCTTGACACCTGCAGCCGCTGTTCGTCTCAGTGCCGTAAGTGTTATCCAGCTTTGTTCATTCTTTCATCCTGGTTCCGTCCACGGATCACTCGTAACACTGGTTCCGAAGCCGAGATCAGCGCACCGGGTCTTACTAAAGTAACTGCCTCTTCCAACCAATCGCCAGCCTTCGAAGTGTTTGGGTCTTGACCAGAGATGGGCAGTAACGCGTTACTTGTAACGCGTTACTGTAATCTGATTACTTTTTTCAAGTAACGAGTAAAGTAAGGGATTACTATTACAAAATCGGTAATTAGATTACCGTTACTTTCCCGTAGGAACGCTGCGTTACTGCATTACTAAAACCGTGATTTTTTTGCGAGAATGTCTCACGACAGTGACGTAAGCGAGTGCACCGTTAGTGACAACAGCTGTGTGCAGATCAACAATGGATCACATATCGATTGTGGGAGAGAGTATGAGCGTGCAGCGTTTAAAGCGTGGAAGTACTGACCTTACTTTGAGTTTGATTCCATAAAAAGTGACAAAAACATTAGCATCCATCGTGCGTGGGAAGAAAACTTCTTTTTACACCGAAAAAACCCCTAAACTTCCAAGCAAGCACCAAGTGCGCAATGACGTAATGGGAAATTCACAGAGAAAAATTAACCTGACCGCGGAACACCTGCACCAGGGTAAACCTCCGCCTACCGTAGTCCTGCTTTACAGGTGAAAATAGAGCAACAGGACCGCTAGTCTTTGACTTTATTTATTTTCTGCTGTGTTTTACTTGCATCCATTTGAAAGAGTGAGTGTAAACACAAAAAATATTTTATTTTATGTGCTGGAATGTGCAGAAAATAGGTTTAAATGTTAAACTAAATTATTCAAGTCAGAGAATGTTGAATATAATTAAATTTTTTGCTTGATGCATAAAGTTAAAAGAGTAAAACTAATAAAACAAGTAAAAAAAAGAGACTTTTCCATTTGATTACATTTTGTATGATGGATTAAGCAGAAAAAGTAGAATTGGGCTGAAAGATCTATCGCTTTATCACCTCTTCAGGTTGTAAATCGTGTTTTTAAAAAGTAACTAAGTAACTAAGTAATTAATTACTTTTGAAAATAAGTAATCAGTAAAGTAATGGGATTACTTTTTTGGGGAAGTACTCAGTAATTAGTTACTGATTACTTTTTTCAAGTAACTTGACCAACACTGGTCTTGACGCTACATGGGCAACAGTCAAGATGGTATTTGAATATGAACCATTAAATAAATGAAACCACAGTGTACATAGTGAAAGAAGAGGATAAAACAGCACTACATACACTAGTCTTTACTGGCATTTTTGTGTCCACAGCTCCTTTATATTAGTGTGTATTTTCTTTTTATTCGAATATTTTTTTTCTTTTCCCTTCATTTAAAAAACATATGAACAAATTATACAAAATATTGATGAATACTGAAGTTATAGCTAAGGGCCTGAAATATAACCTGATAGTCTAATATAAACAGAGAAGCAGCACAAAAAATTGCCATTTTTATTTTCTTTATTTCTTAACATAGCTCACTTTAAAAAGTAAAATATTTTAAGAGCAAATCAAAGTGCATACAGTGAAGGTTACACAGACCTATCAGTCAGAGGTTCTGCTGTAAAGTCTGAGAGTAACATGTAGAAGGAGATTAGATTCCAGGGCCGTACAGACATGTTTGCTTCAAACATCAGAAATAAACATAAAGTGAAGGGTTTTATTTAGTTTTTTTTTTTTTTTTGGTTTAAATTATTGTCACAAACATCAACTCAAAAGTAAGTTTTCCTTGTTGTTAATTTTTGCATCTAAAGTTATGCCCAGTAGGGAAATTCCACTGCAACTTCATAAACCTTGCAAATATTGGTTGAATATGATGAAAGTGACTCTTGAAGTTGGCAGTTTTGTTTTGTTTAAAAAATAATCATAATTTTACAGTGTCCTGGAAAAAAAGACACAAGCACAATGAAACAAGTTCTACAAAATCCATACAAAATACAGGTGATAAAAATACAAAAATAAAATATAATTAATAATTAAAATAAAAAATACAAAAATTAAAAATGAAATGTAAGCAAATACAGACCTTAGTAATTGTCTTGTTGTGGATTATGTAAGGAGGGGTTTTTACAGTCTAACTGATTAATTTGCCAAAAGAAAAGACAAAACACACAGAGTTAAAGACTTTTAACAGATTTTCCTAAAGATTTCCTACATATCTTTGAGTGATTTCTGTAATAAGCAAAATCTTTGTCGGGAAGTCACTTTGATGGAGTCACTGTGAGCTTGAGCTCTACAAATAATTCATTTCTGGTGTTCTAGGCCTACTGGAATACTTCCTGCTTTCAGTCAGGCTGTAAACATTCAACCAGAAACTACGTCAAGCTGCTGCACCACCTTTTTCAACAGCAAATAAATGTAATGTCTTTCTGACCGTGATGTGTTGAAAAAGAGGAGACAAAAAAGCTGATAAGGGAAGGGAATTATTCTGCAGCATCAAATAAGTAACGACTTTTCAACTTATTCATTGTTGACAGACATGGCCAGTAAGTATTTTCATCTTTTATATTCATTTAATGTTCAGACGCATTTCCCTGTGATAAATCCGATTTTAATATGAACCTAACCCAGTTTTACTTTGTTTTTTAAATGTTGTTCTTATATTTAATTCCCTGAATGTACCTTTTATTACTACATCTAGCATACAGGAGTGTAGACATATTACATTTTCTTCTTGGTGAAGGATAAATCTATATCTTCTTAATATCCAATTTACAATCAGAGGGCACAGTGTCAGTGTTATGAATTATTTTTTTTTTAATGAGACCAGACATGAATAATGTCTCTGTGATGTTCTCCAACAGATGAAGCTGAGCTCAGGATGGTGCTTGTTGGGAAAACGAGAGTTGGGAAGAGTGCAGCAGGAAACACCATCTTAAGGAGAAGAGCTTTTGAAACTATGAGGCTTCCTGCTGTAGCGGCACCAGTAACTCTGAGGAGAACAGGAGAGTTTTATGGACAAACACTGGCTTTAGTTGATACTCCAGGCCTGCTCCATCCCAATCAAGATCAAGATGAGGTGAAGAGGCACATCACCAACTGCATCACATTTGCTGCTCCGGGTCCACACGTGTTCTTGGTTGTGATCAATCCAAACAGATTCACAGTAGATGATAGAAGAATGATGAGAACCATTCGGCAGATATTTGGAGAAAACCTAGCACGTTACGCTCTGCTCTTGTTCACCCATGGAGACGTTCTGGAAGCTCAGGAGCGCTCCATTGAAGAAATAATCCGTGAAAATCCATCTCTCCGTTCTATCATCCATCAGTGTCATGGAGGATATCATGTTTTAAATAACAATGATGGGGATCTCACTCAGGTCTTAGAGTTGCAGAGGAAGATACACATGCTGGTTCAGAGAAATGGAGGACAATACTACACTGATGAGATGCAAAGAGAGCCCGATCTGGGAAATGTTATGGTCGGTTTCACCATTGGTGTTCTTGTAAGTCTACTGGGACTGGGAATATTTAGAGTGGTGCGGCAGTAGGAATGTGTTACAACATTTTATCAGTACCTTTGATATTAATATTTGATATCATAGAAATCCATACATGTAGAATGCATACTTCAGACCTGTGTCATATGTCTGTTTGAACTTTAGGCTTGTTTTACATTTACATTATTAATTCATACTTTAACTGTTTAGGGTCATAGGCTGAGGTCCATTATTAACACTAAATGGTTAAATGAATGGACAACATGATTTCAGGGAATAACCATCTTATGGATATACTATCTTACATCAGGCTGGACATCATGTTGTTGGGGTTGTTCAGCTTCAGCTTATTAATCATGTATAGATTTTATAAACTGTCATTTTTTCAGGTTTTTAATGAATAAAACTGTTAACATTTTTTTCTCATTATAGATTAGGAGCATCTTAATTTCATTCATCATGTGATTTACAGAATTTCTCAGACTATGAGAGTACATACATACATATATATATATATATATATATATAAAAGAGAAATGGGTCGTTTAAGCACTTATGATAATAATGAAAATGTCTCAGTTTTGTTATTTTCAGGTGCAAAGACCTGGATCAATTTTCCACATGCAGCGGTCAGAAGAAAGTTATAGGTTAACATCACTGGAAATGTTCAGGCAAGTTTCTGGTTGAATTGTTCACAGCGCCATGTGTTACTACAGTTTTTTCTGAATGCTTAAACCCTAACTGTGATTCCTGTAGCACAATCTCTAAAACTATTCAGACTTATAGCAAAACCACTCACTGAGTTTGCAAAACCAAAAGCACAAAAATTGCTTTGCACTCAGTTTGCAATTTTGTAACACACACTTTGCAAAACTGTAGGCACAATTCACTGCACAACACTCAATTACCAAATTTCCAACACACTCCTAGCAAAAGTATACACATGTATGGCTATCATTAACACTAATTTGCCAACTGTCTGGCACACTTTCACATGTGAAAACTTTTTTAGATAATTAGTTCACTTTGCAATCAGCCTAAGCACTATAATACAGGTAAGCTGTGTGTGCGGAGTACAATGGAAGGAGCAGAAAGAGTGAGAAGTAGAAGAGGCCGAGGAAGAGGACGTGGAGGTGAAGAAGTAGGATGAAGAGGACGACAAGGACAAGGAGGAGCAAGAGGAAGATGAGGAGGGGGGAGAGGAAGATGAGGAGGAGGGAGAGGAAGGGTAGGAAGAGTAAGAAATAGAATTGCTGATGACATCAGAGCTACAATAGTGGACCATGTAATCAACCGTGGAATGTATTGTGTATTTTGTTGTACAGTTATTTTATTTTCAACTTTAATTTATATATTTATCTTTATCTTATTCTTCCCAGTTAAATTTACCCTTCATTCTAATTTGTGTTGTACAGTTATTTCATTTTTAACCTTAATTTATATTCTATTCCTTCCTAGTTAAATTTACCCTTTTTAATTTTTCATATTTATTTCCTATCTTATTCATAGCCTTTTCCTTTTTGTTTTCTTTAGGTCACGAGCAGTTGTCCAAGCATTTCACTACATATCGTACTGTGTATGACTGTGTACGTGACAAATAAAAATTTGAATTTGAATTTGAATTTGACCCTGAGGGTAGCTGGCCAACGGGTCCAGCCTAACTCGAGCCGCTACACTGTAGCAAGCATCATAAGGACATCTTGAAATGAGAATCGGTTAGTACAGTCACTTCGCACAAAGATTTGTAGCACTGCCATATGCCAATGAGAAACACACCAATACCATTGATGTAAAAATACTGAAATTGTTACTTTACAGAATTGCTAGATGACCAGATGCTGGGGCAGAGGAAGCATGTTCACTGCAGACCAAGTAACCCATATAGTCATTATGGCGATTGCAAATAATCCTATACTTGGAAATAAACACTTGTGTTTGTTTTGATGTGTTTGAATAAACACCAGTACTTGAAGTTTGGATCCCTCTATGCTTATGGATCTATGACAGAAGTATGAGCTCAAACTGACATAGCCTACCTTGTGCACAGAGAAAGCAAAAGCCAGATGTGTTTTGTATTCATACCATCAGTGTGCAGTTGGCGCATTGTGTGCTTAGTAGATGATGGCTTGTGTGTACTGTTTGATACGGAAACACCATTTTTACGAAGGTGTGAAGAGTTAATCTAGCTGTGTTTGCTTTTGCAAGAGAACTACAATGTTTTGATTATTGGGTGACAGGTTTTCTTATTTGTGTGAAGAGTTTTGCAAAATTAGCCAATAGTTACAAAAAATGTGCTTAAGCAATCAGAAAAAACTGTAAGTCAGCATAGCTTGAGCTCAATTAGCACACAATTAACCAGATGGAAACACTAGGAGTCAAAATTTATCACACACCAATCAGAACCTTCGATGGATAGATAAAAGGGCCAAAGTCAGCTCATTCAGGTTTGAAACAATGGATCCAAAGAGATGCAAAGGAAGAGGACGTGGTGGAGAAAGAGGACGTGGTGAAGGAGGAGGACGTGGTGGAGGAAGAGGACATGGTGAAAGAGGAGGACGTGGTGAAAGAGGAGGAGGACGTGGAGGAGGAGGACGTGGTGAAAGAGGAGGACGTGGTGAAAGAGGAGGAGGAGGTGGAGGAAGAGGACGTGGTGAAACAGGAGGAGGAGGTGGTCTAGGACAACAGGAAGGTGGTGGAGGAGGAGGAGGACGTGGTGAAGGAGGTGGAGGTGGAGAACGACGGCGACAAGGAAGGGGAAGAGCAAGGGCAAGAAGACAGTCATTCTCGGATGAAATTCGAGCCACTTTAGTTCACCATGTCCTTGTCCATGGGATGACTATGAGGGAGGCTGGGCAACGAGTACAACCAAATTTGAGTCGCTTCACTGTTGCCTCCATCATCAGAACCTTCAGGGAGGAAAACAGGTAGGTGTACTTGCAGTAAGACTGCTTTGTACAGTAACTTTTAAGTTACTGAACTTATGTTTCTTGAGTTTCAGTATGTTTCCATTATTTTCCTGTAAAAAGAATGTGTGACAGTTACAGTAATGAGTGCTTCTATTTTTGTAGGACACAGAGACGACCACCTGGTGGAGGCAGGTTAAGGCTTTTGTCGGAGGGCCAAGAGAGGGAACTTGTATATGTCAGTTGACCTGAGAGTGTCAGGATCCTGAAGAACAAAACTTTTCTGTGTGTAAGATGTTTGAGGTTGTTGTTTTAGTGATGGGTTGATTCTGTCGGTTAGGTTTGGGTTGTTTTCTTATTTTAATAGAGGGAGTTTTATTAAACATGGACATGTATTAGAGGGGCCCATTATTTTTGTAACAGTGCACTTAGAAAACCTGTCAAGTGATTTTGTTTTGTACTTTGATGAGCTAATAATTAGCTCTCTTTTTCTAATTTTTGTTCTAAGCAGGCCTGGAAGTGAGTGAATTAACAGCGCTTTAAAAATTTCTGGGAGAACAAACATAAGGTGAGCTTTCCAGATTACAATGGGTGGAGGAAAGGCTACCTGTGGGGACCTGATCAGGTTGTAAGTCCCTGTCTAAAAGGATTGCCGCGAGCCAATCCAGTCCAAAAGCATAAAGAACTATTGTCCTACAAAACAAAATAAAATAAATGAATGAGCTCATGTTGCTAAGGGTGGAGAATCAAATTATTTTTGCTGGAGTCTCCACTATCAGCAATATCTCGTGTCAATGTATCTGGTGTGAATGTGTGTGACTGGACCAAGGTTAGGATGAATAAATGTGGACAAACAATTTACCATGCCGGCAAGAGAAAGGGGATGCTTTGCTTTGCTTTGCTTTTGCCATGAGCAGGAGGAGCGGGAGACTTACTTTTGGGGATGCTGATTTTGGGTTACTGGTGTTGGCTTTAAATAAACTCTGTGTTATTGACTGGGTTTAGATTATGGTACTAGATTATAGTGTTGGGAAAATGCCAAATGCTAAAGGGGAGAAAATTTTGACGTTACTCATGTTACCATTAACCAAAGCAGGCCACTCTAGAAGTCAATTAAAATTTATAGAGAAAAATAACTAAAACAAAAGTAATATTTATGAATCACATCGGAGATTGCTAGACTTAAAATAAAATAAAATGCAGTTATAGAATAACGAACGCTTATCTAAGTGACCAAGGTTTCTTGCTTTAAAGCAGGAGCAAAGTGAGGAAAGCATATATATTTTGGCTAAGTCTGATAAAGTATAATTAGAATGTACCATTACATTAAGAGGAGCAAAATGAAATCAAAATATGCTATATCAAGAACATGTTATAACACAGGAAATGTGAGTTTTAAAATGAAATTAGTGTTAACACACGTGTTGTTTCTAGGTAGCTTTTAGCTATGATAAAATTTACGAATACGTAATTGCTTATATGCTTAAACTTAATTGAATAAAATGTTTATTTTGTATTGGATCTTTTAGTAGAAAAGGCGCTTATAATGATTTTCTTGTGAAAGGTGACTTTAGGTCAGAGTTAAGGCACTTGCAGCAGCGACAGTTTGTGTACAGGATGTTGATGATCAGATAAGGAAAAATAGAGCGAGCAACCGGACATGAAAGCAGAGCTTTAAGAGTTTTTAAAACGATGAGTCACGTTGAAGGATATATATATAACTAGAAGTAAAAAGTCAGGAACATAATTAGGATCATGCTTTTGATTAAAGAGTCCCAAACATGATAAGTTAGGGAGGTGCAGGAAAAGGTGTTTTGTTTCCTTTGCAGAAGATCTTGGCGACCACAGGGGGGTGAGGATGCTGGAGGCCCGAGGCCTGGTGGACCACAATAGAGGGACTGAGAAAAACCTAATCTTATGCATGGGTGTTCTCAAATGGGAGCTGGTGTTTATTACTGGACCACTTAGATGACATGAGGTTGTTCTCTGATTCGCTGAGCCAAAAGGACGGCTAGAGAGGGTCAGAGCGAGGACACAATGTATTGCGACCTCTGGTGTTCCAGAGGTCGAGAGAGGGAGTATTGAGAGTGGAGAGATATTTTGCTGTTATTGTTAATAATCATCATCATTATTACCATTGCATTAATAATATAATTGCATTCAGATGTTTAAACATTTTGGTACCCAATTAGCCTTTGTTACAGGTGCAGTTATAACCAATTTAAACTGAGTTGAATCTATAATCTTAAATGCTTTTGAATGCTTGTTATAATCTTAAGTGTGTATGTGCTGATTCTGTTGATTTTGAGTACACCCTGTACAGAGTCAGAGTGACAGGAAACTGCAGGCTTGCAGAGAGTTTGCAGAACTGAAACCGAACGCAGAATCTAAGTCCAGGTTATTCTGAGGAGCTGGTTAGATGAGGCTATGTGAATAACTAGGGTATTCAAATTGTCTGTTATACTTTTATATTCTTTTATTAAGCTTTTAGTGGAGGTTCTTGATTAAAACATTTATTC